ATTTTAAATTAGATGATATTATAAAATATTTGGATTTGTTATTATTTATATAATAAAATAATTATAAAATATTGTTGGTATATAATATTATAGTTAGTTAGGTTGTAATAATTTGGGTTTTTTTAGAGGATTAGGGTTTTCCGCCAATTCGAGATTTTAGTGGCCAATTTTTCATCGACTTAGTCAACTCTTTATTGTAGTCCATATATGATTATATACTTTATCTATGATAATTCTATGATTTCTTTTGTGTGATGTAAATTTAATGGTCAACATAAGTTCATACAGGGAAAGAACATCTCGATATTCATAAATTGATGAAAACAATGAAAGTTAATAATGTAGTACCCCAATTTCTTATTGGATTCCTAAAAAGCAATATTTATAATGAATTTTAATATATTTTTTTGAATTTTTTTAAGGCTTAATCTGAGCGATTCGACCTTATTCCCGATCCAGATCGCCGATCCAGATTGACTTTTAGGATGCCCGATCCAGGTCACTGATCCATTTTTTAAACCACTACTTTTGATACAAGGAGGTCACAAGTACTTACAACCAACCCACTCATGTGAAATATGATAGCTTGGGTGTGTCACAATGTTTGAAAAAATTTCTTTGAAGTTTGAGCTTGGTCAATGAAATAAATACAGCAACCTAATTTCATATCCAATGGTCAAGATTAATTGTGACCAGCGTGTACCAAAGATAAACAGTTTCATTGTATATATATATATATATATTTTTTTTTTTTTTACTTTTTGTGCAAGGAGGTCACAATCATTCTAGTCTTTTAAATTTCAAAATAAGGGGTTAAAATGTCATGTTTCAAAAAAAATATTTGGACTTAACAACTCACCCCAAGCCATCCAATTTAACATCAATGAATGAGAATAGTTGTGACTTCCTTGTAACAAAGATAAATGACCTCTTCGTAGACAATTTCATTGTAAAAAAATTAGGTAAATATTGAGATATTGTTTTTCCTTTATGAGTGTCCATGGATATTAATTTTTGAAAACTCGTCTTTGTTGGTTTAATTAAAGTTTGGATAAAGTTATGCATTTGGAGATGAGAAAGCTTAACGGCTCGTTTGGATGCTTGGGTAAACAAAACGTGATTTTATATAACCGTGTTCTTCCGAGAAAAAAGATCGTTTGGCATGTTTGTAGTGACATAACGAGCTTTTGTGTACCCACAAAGATATACCAAAACGTGGGTAAATAAAGTCATTAAAAAAAAAAAAAAAACCAAAACTTTCTATGTTCTCTTTACAACATAGAAGTTTTATGTTCTCCTTGTCATCCAGCCGTTTATTTTTTATCAAGAGACTCACTCACTTTTGATCTTAGATCCGACATCTTACATTATTTTATTTTTAGTTTTTTTAATACAAATTTTTTGAATATAAAATTTGGTATGTGATATCTTTTTATTGGGACGCACCTATAAAAAATATTAACAATAATTTTTTGATAAAAAATAATTACCAAAATATTTTAAAGGTATTTTAGTTATTTTATTTAATTGAAAATATATTTTTATATTTTTTGTTTAGATTTATGGGTTGCAATTCCTGGAGCTCCCGAAGCTTGTGTACGGACTGATCATCTCTTCCCTTTCTTGTGGGTTCAATATATCTCACTGCCTTAATAATGCCTTTTTTTTTTACTTTTTTGACATGGAAAGCTTCTCATTTGTTTCATTTTGATTTCTGCTATTGTTGTTATTCGTTAATTAGTGTTGTAATGCTTGCGTAAGAGGATTTGGTTCGTTAATTAGTGTTGTAATGCTTGCGTAAGAGGATTTGGTTATGAGAAATGTAGAAATTGGGGCAAATATTTGAGCTTCGTCTGTTTATTCGTAGATTTTGGGTTTGTTAGTTTCAGGGGTTTTGTTTATTCTGATGTATGTTCTCTTGGTCCTAATCTTTGTTGTTCTTAGTCAGCTTCTTCTGATGTCATTTCCCAAGAGATACGCTCAAGGCTGCATCATGGTTTGAGTTTCTATTCTTTCCCCTTAATTTTTTTTGATATTTTTATTATGCTATTGTTTATTTTGT